AAAGGGTACAGACTCAACAAGAAGCCTGAATGGATTGTGAAACTAAGCCCTTTGGGAAACAGAGGTTCCAAAATCTAAACACACTGGAAGATTTGCTTATTCCTGACTTAAAAATAATTAAAAAATATTTTCATTCTTACATCAGAAAGGCTGGTTTCTACCTTATTGTAGTTGAGAACAGATATTTCCTTTTCTTTTTTTTAAGGGAGATTTCCTTGAACACATACACCAATGAACAATTCTAACCCTCAAATATGGGATTAGAGACAGTCAGATTTCAGAGTACTAAATTGAATATAATGGCCTACCTCTTACAGGAGCAGATGTGTTCCTAGTGGCATATTTAATTAGGGAAGTGAGAGTGCTGTATATTACTGATACATATACCCTGGGACAAAATTCAGGGTTGGGGGTGGGGTATGAGTAAGTCTAGGGAGGAAAATGGAATAGTAGAACCTCATGTGGCCAGGACAAATCCCTCATTTCACCAAACTCTGTACTTAGAATCTTTGAAGTGGCAGCTACTCAGAGCAAAGAGAATTGAAAGGCCAAAACAATCTATTGCTTTATAAAGTTCAGTCTGTGGACACATCATTTAAAAGAGGCAACTTCCAATCAGTTCAGAAACAAATTACTTCTCCTAAATATAAAATGAAAATTACACATAACATCCACAGTGCCCTTTTGTTTTTTTTCTCCCCTTTGGCAAGGACCTTTAAAAATTGGAAGGAAGGAATTTCCCTGGTGGTCCAGTGGCTAAGACTCCATGCTCCCAGTGCAGGGGGCCTGCAGTCAATCCCTGGTCAAGGGAACTGGTTCCCCTACATCACAGCTAAGGCCCAGTGCATCCAGATAATAAAATAAATATATATTAAAAAAAACGACACAAGAGTGCAGGGTTCCTAGGGTTTGAATACTCTCTCTTATACTGTGTATAAATACACAGAAAACTGGGGCAAATGCTGGGGCACTGCCATCAGAGGTGGGGAAAAACATATGAAATACTCCAGAGCAAATCTAGCCATCAATTTACTTATTTCTCAAACATCTGGAGGACGAGGTCTACGTGTTTGAAGATTTTACTGAACTAGACCCTTCACAGGCATTCTTTTATGGAATCACCACGACCATCTCCTAAGGCAGCTATTACACAGCAGGCCTTGGAGATACAGTACACGGGGTTCCTGCCTTCTACGGGGCACGGGCAGGGCTAGCCAGGTGTTACGTGGTGTGATGTGAGGTGTGACAGAGGGAAGGCTCCCTGCTGTCTGTATGACATGTTAGGGGAGCACATGTTCCGGACCACAGAGCCAGGATTCCTCTCAGGAGTCCTTTCAGAATGAAGACTCTGTCTCTGAGCACACATTTAGCTGGAAAATCCAACCGGGACCATAAAGGCAGCATCAAACAAATGTGTTCAGATTAAACAGAGATCTGTTACAGCTTCTCACAGATTACTAAGATAGGTCTTAAAATTTTCAGTTTAAATAGACATGTCTGTAAAGCTGTCATGGAAAAGGAAATAAGCAGCCGAGTTGTACCACTGAAGTGCAAAATAATTCATAGAAATCATTCTTCCTAAAAGTGTACCTCAATATCAAGGCATAGATAGTTTTGTAGGCTTTTATTTTTCTAAAAGGCAATTTTACTTTAAAAATGATCAGGGTTTCCTGCAAGTTTCTGTTGAGTCTTTCCTAATAAACACAATTTAAAGGGTAATTTTAAGATGGGCATTATTTAGGGTTTAGATCTGGGGCGGGGGCTGTGGGAAACCTGATAAATGTGTGTGTCTGTGTGAGTGTGAGTGTTGAGTTGCTTCAGTTGTGTCTGACTCAGTGAGCTGTCGGGCTCCTCTGTCTGTGGGATTCTCCAGATTAAGAATACTGGAGTGAGTTGCCGAACTCTCTTCCTGGGAATCTTCCCAACCCAGGGATTGAACCCGTGTCTCTTCTGTCTCCTGCACTGGCAGGCGGGTTCTTTACCACCACCAGTTAATTATGATATATTTTTAATTGAAATAATAGGTGTGTAACAGAACACTAGAAGAGAAATGTAGAATTATCTTTATTTCAGGACTGAGGGGATTTTAGAGATGAATAAACAAGCTTAGATAAACTTAGAAATTAACCAATTGTGACTCTCAAACACTCCAAGTGCTTCTGAGAAGGGAAAACTGTGCTTGGTCTCTGCTGGGGCAAAGTGAATGTGTGTAAGTAAGTGTTATGGAAAAAAATTTTACAGTTGATAAGTATGCAATTAAAAAAAATCTCCTAAAATTTTTATTTATGTTAGCACACTGGAATGTACCCTAAATTACTACATATGTCTGTACCTAAATGGTTTAATTTAGTTGGTACTAATCTTATAGACTCTTTAAGGGTTCCTCAAACTACCCTGAAACTATTTCTTTATCAACATAAATGATCCACCTTTTCAGATATTTTAAAACTCAGGGCAATAAATGTTTAATTGGCACATGTGAGAGGTAGTGGGTGTGTGCGTGCTCAGTAGCTCAGTCCTGTCCGACTCTTTGTGACCCCGTGGACTGTAGCCCACCAGGCTCCTCACTCAGTCCATAGGATTCTCCAGGCAAGAATACTGGAGTGGGTTGCCATGCCCTCCTCTAGGGGATCTTCCCAACCCAGGGACTGAATCCATGTTTCTTATGTCTCCTGCCTTGACAGGCAGATTCTTTATCACCAGTGCCACCTGGGAAGCCCAAGGCACTTTATTTCTATTATTATTACATCAACTCCACCTCAGATCACCAGGCATTAGATGCCGGAGGTTGAGGACCCCTTCCCTAAAGTACTTCCCCTAGGGAGATCTGATTCTACTGGGACTTTTGGCTGAAATGTCACCATATTGAAAACAGGGAGAACAGTCACTGGAGGTTCAAACTGAACATTAACTGCGAACTTGGATCCGCAGCATTTCAGTCAGCGAGAGCTCTAGTTCACAATTCAATAGTCCCAGATGCAGATCAAATGTGCACTTCTGGGTTAATTTAAAGGCTCTGATGAACCCAGCAAGCGCAACTTTAGCTACTCTGTCAAAGACTGATATTTATTTAATCAAGATGGGAAATAAGGGTTTGTGATATCCCAAGTAGCAATAGAGTTCTTATTTTCATGTAAACTGCTCAAAATAAACACCAAGGCAGAAAACTGGAAAAACACCCTAAAGAACAGAAGAATGGCTTCTAAATAGATGGCTTTTTCATTTTAAGCAACAGACAAGTATTTAACTAAATTATTCTCCACTGAGACTATTGAAATGGTTTTGCTATTGCTGTCCAAATGGAATTTCAGATCCACTTAATTTCAAGAAATTGACTGAAATTCAAACCACAGATCTGGTGTATTTTAGATGGTGCTATGTGCTCTATGTGCTATTTATGCTCATTACTGCACTGAAGTAGCTGGATTCAGATAACTGAGTTAATAGTATTAAATCAGAGATGCCAAATTAATTTCCTCGATATGTTCATAAATGGCTCTAAAATTATTGAGGCTTGACGATTGAAAACCTTTCCCATTTTCTTATTTTTCTATGACAGAAAATTAGAATACAAGTTTTCCAGAATTACAAAACCAGGAAGAACCCTAATGGGATCTAGTCCAATGTTCTTATTTTCTAAGAAAATGAAGCCCAGGAAAAGCAGGGGAATGTCATAGTTAAAAGCTTGGGCTCTGGAGTCAGACACACCCAGTCCCAGATTGGCAAGTTATTCACTGTCTGACCTTGGGAAAGTTATTTAATCAGTTTCTTCATCTACAAAATGGGGATAACAACAGTATTAATCTCATAGCTTTGTGGTAAAGATTAGATGAGCAAACACTCAAGGTATTCATTATTAGCACGTCATGGATTAGCACGTCGTAACCAGTCAGTAAATTCACCAGTTATTATTATGACTAAAAGGTGACTCCTAAGGCCAGTAAGCAGCAACAGAACTAGAACTTGGAGCTCCTGCACATATCAGGGATTTTTTTTTCTTAATCTAAACACAGTACCTGGAATAAAGATTCCGTGGTCCTGACAATTTAAGTATACTATACCTACATCAAAAAGGAGGACAACCGTTTCAGTCTTTCTGCTACTGAATTCATCAAAACATCAAACCAGCCATTATATACAGAGGCCTCAATGTCATGAAGATTCATACATGTTTAGTGTTCCATGAGCAATGACTGTTAGATTGCATGCTTTTAAGTATTTCCCACCAAAGCTGCTTGTATAAAATAAATGATAAACAGAAGTTAGTGTTTCACTTGCTAATGATCTCAAATTTCACTGGTTAGTTGCTATGTGGATCAAGTCCGATATTCTTACTTTGTATCATCAGTCAGATATCACCATGGCTTCTACACATCTGCTATGGAGGAAGAATGAGGGACACATAAAAGAAAAAGCTCCTGGATCTGCAGTCTCTCAGTGAGAATCGGTTTGACTAATACAGGGTCCTTGGAACCCAGCAGCCACCAATCACAGACATTTGGAATTGCCATTTCTGTCAAGACTGTGTCCTTACATGATTCAATTTGGAGCTGTATGGTTTTCTTACATTAAAAAAATGAATAATTAAGAAGCTTCTAAGGCATATTAGCTTTATATAATATGCTCTCAATATTCCTGCATTTGTTAATTTTTAGTTAGTTGGCAGTCTTTTCAGTAAGTATTCTCAGACTGCCAAGTGGGTGCTTAAAATACTTTTTTTGTAGTAAACTAAAGGTCATTTTTCTCCTAATCTGGAGATGATCAATGTATATAAAATTACTTTAAATCTTTAAAAATAAGAGTAGCTGCATCCAATAGACATCAAATCAAACCACAGTGGCATAAACATGAACAAAACCCAAACACCTTTTTATGTAACACCAGTGTGATTCAGCAGACCAACAAATGAAGAAAATAGTAACTTGAAAAGCAGCAATTTGTATCCATACCCAGTATTTAGTATTTCAGTGACAAGAAATAAAATTGTTTGGCAAACTTACCCGCATTTTTGCACAAGCATCTTGGGTTGATTCTGTCCCCCTGAGCTCTTTTATCAGCATAGAACCTAAATACTGAAATACAAAAAAAAAATAAATAAATAGATCAACAATTTATGAAAAACAGAACATAAATATGAGTAGCAATTTAAAAGCAGATTGTAAAGTACTACTGGCCAGCCTTCCTGGTTGTAGGCTGCTGCATAACTTTTAAAAACTAACAGTAACTAATTCTAACAAATACATGCATGTATACAGAGAACGCAGCAGAATTAACCACAGTTCTGAAAGCTGTAAATTGCTCTTTATAATAAAATTGCAGTAGTTTCTAAAGATGCCATCTTTCAGATCATATTTAACTGCAAAATGGGGCCATCTAAAAATGTTTTCCCTTTTTTTTTGAGGCAGCAATGTCTGCAAAAATAAATCACATCAGTGTCTATGTAATTACAGGGTTGTATGAGACAGCTGAGAAGCCAAGCAACATACACTGCATCTGGACTCAGCTGGCTGCACAGGTAATTAACGCCAGGCTGTTCTCAGGCAGAGAACAGCTCTGGACCCTTTTCATACTCAGTTCTGGGCCTGGGGGTTGATCCACCTGAGAACGGGCTGCAAGTATGCGGGGAGGGAGATGTCGTTCTCGGTTGCTCCACAGTCCAGGGAGCTGAGTTCCTTGGTGCACACTGACACTGGAGGGGCTGACAGGGCAGGGGAAGGATGGTCGCATCTCCTTCCAGGAATCACCAGCCACTTTGCTCCAAGGCTGCCTTAGCACAGACAGGTCACACACACTCCAAGTTCTGGCTGGGGGCAAAAAGTTTTTAGCAAAATGTCTATTTTGCCTTCCTATCAATTGACTCTCCTTCAACCTTTTGAAAGGGGCTTCCCAGGTGGTGCTAGTGGTAAAGAACCTCCCTGCCAATGCAGGAGATATGAGACTCAGGTTCGATCTCTGGTTCAGGAAGACTCCCTGGAGGAGGGCATGGCAACCCACTCCAGCATTCTTTCTGCGAGAATGTCATGGACAGAGGAGCCTGGTGAGCTATAGTCCACAGGGTCACAAAGAGTCAGATGTTACTTAGCACGCACACATACAATCTTTTGAAACTTCAATAGGGTTCTTTCCATCTGTCATTTTTCTCTACTTTCCTTCAAAAAAAGAGAGAAGAGAAATAGCTCAATATGTCTTTTTAAAAGAGTGTATTAAAATGATTGTTGTCTGGATGTGACTGAGGAGACCCTGGCACTCTGCAAAAACTGGGCTGGGAATCAGTCTTTTAGACCCAGGAGAGCCCGGCCTTGAAGAGTTTGCTCACAGGCACAATAGCAGAGGGTTCAGTCAAAGGCTTCCAAGAAGGCATGCTCAGACAGGCTCAGGGATCTGGTGTTTGGGTCTTGAAGGAAGAAGGAGGAACTGTAGTCTTACAGTTTTGGGGGAGATTATGACTGAAACAAGTCCAGTGCTTCAAGACCTAATCAGTTAAAGAGGTGCAGAGAGCACAAAATGAAAAGACTAAACTGCTGTGAGATAATCATGACCTTTACATCTTCATAAATTAATGACGGATGATTGTGGTGAAATCCTTATCTTCTTTTTGATGTTTTTCATTATCTTATTTTTGAAAATATGAAATCCTCATCTTTTAAGGTATCAGGAAACTTTGTCCTAATTAAAACATTTATTTTTTAAGAAAGACAGTTTCAATGTTCTGCTGAGGGTTCATCCACTTTCCCTGCTACAGTCATGACAACCACCGGCCCCCAAACTGATGGTATCTTTTGAACATTTACCTGTTCATATTACTCACAATCTCAGCTAAGCCTGATTCCCTCTCCTATCTAAAAAAAAAAACAAAAACACAAAAAACCTAGTAATATAATCCAAATGATGACAATGAAAAGAATCTGGTATTTACATAAAGCTGTGGACCCAATGTTTTGAGATAACTGATGAGTTATGTGGAAATGTCTATATGTGCTTTATTTATAGTCATTTCCATTTTAAGATAGCAATTTATCACATTTAATTTAAAATATACAACTATATATGAAGAAGGCAAAACAGACCTTAAGCTTACAAGATTAAAAGGGTTATAAAGTTCCATTTGTTTGGAATTTCCAAGTAGCCTTTGAAGAAGGCTTCTTTAAGAAAAAAAAGAGAAGGGGAAAACATTTTAGGAATTTCAGTGATGGATGTCTGGGGATACTTTCAATATAAAAGCAAACAAGCTAGAAATGTACCCTCTATTCCTGCCAGTACCCAAGCACTCAGTTCTGGGTAACTTACAAAAGCTTTGTAATCACACGACTGGAAGATGAGCTTTTCCGGGTGGTGCTGCCAGTACTGCACTGGAGTCGAGGCTGTGGCTTCGTTTGGAGGTCGCAAGGTAATGGAAGGTTCTCCCCAGTCTCCTGTCTGAAAATCACATTTATTCTAGAGGTGACATGAGTAACAGGCTAAGTTCATGCACTGTAGCTGGCCTGAGTTCATGTTAAACCTGTGTGCCATAGATGTGCAAACACATTTAGATGTGTTATATGTTTATTATGGTTTTATGTGTCCTACCATCCTGTTTCCCAAAGCTGAGTTAACTTTTGAGGTATGAAAGAAGTTGATTTACTTTATTTTTAGAATGACATCCTAAGCTAAGTACTTTTAAAATAAAACATGAAGATATTCACAAATGATTTACTAAGTCATAATTTTCTGTTCCAACAGAAAAGAACATATGATCTTTGAAAGACTTTTCTGTTTTTAAACTTGACTGTTTGAAATTTTTAGTTTGAAATGAATTCACAATACTCTGTTTCATAAATTTCAGTTCCTGATGAGGACATGTACCATGTACTTTGAAAAATTCTATATCTCTGGAGAGAAGACATGGTAGGCGTGATACTAGACAAAATTTGAGAAGAAAATGTACTAGTGGATGATACCTAGTTTTCCTCCTCTGAATTCATTTGTATCAATATAACACCACCGTGATTGTCTTGGATATATTCAAACACCTCCCTCAGAAAACCTAAGGCATGAATGAAGAATAAATATTTAAATACCAGGTTTGGTCATATGTGCATATGCATGTACTTGGGGAGCCTGACCACAAGTACAGGCACAGCCCATGTGACGGTATATCACGCAGTACCTGAGCCCGCTAAGACAGACTTAAGACAGAAGGACATCGCATCATTTTAATGACCATTTTCCATGAGGTTAACCTCAACATGTTTTATTGCTGTAATGGTTTAGTGTGAGCACCTATAAAGTCAAATTTCTAACTGGTGTTAAAAAAACAGAAGAATTCCAGAGCCCCTTAGGAATGCACAGGCCATTTCGTGAGGCAGAGAGCCTGAAATTTTCTCTTTGAGATCCGTCAATCCCAACCACAGGAAGAGACATATGAGCCTCATGTCATCTCCCTGGCTTCTCACTGGAGTGTGTGACTGGTCAGAAACCTCGGCTCCTCTCTCTGAGCTACTCTGCTTCTTAGTTTTGTTCCAGTCGCTAATTTACTTGCACAGGGCTCGGTTCTCCCATCTTCCATGTGTTGATATCATTAAGACTTTATCTGGAATATTTACTTTGGCATTTTTAAGCAAAAATCCTTCATCTTATGACCCATCCCTGACTCATTCTTAAGTTTTCTCTTTGTTTATATGGATTTTTATTTTGTAAAAACAGTAACTAGTTGCAATTAATTAAGTTTTCCTCTGACTTGCTATTTTGATCTTTTCTTTTCCTTCTCTCTTAAATGTTTGGATCTTTATTTCAACTGACTGTGATTTGCTCTTAAAAAAACTAGTATAAAATTAAAAATGCAGAATATGTGAATTTCAATATTTCAAAGGTGAGTGTTAATAACCTTTAAATGATAACAGTTAAAGCTCTGGAAACATGCAACAACATGTACCATGTACTTTGAAAAATTCTATATCTCTGGAGAGAAGACATGGTAGGCGTGATACTAGACAAAATTTGAGAAGAAAATGTACTAGTGGATGATACCTAGTTTTCCTCCTCTGAATTCATTTGTATCAATATAACACCACCGTGATTGTCTTGGATATATTCAAACACCTCCCTCAGAAAACCTAAGGCATGAATGAAGAATAAATATTTAAATACCAGGTTTGGTCATATGTGCATATGCATGTACTTGGGGAGCCTGACCACAAGTACAGGCACAGCCCATGTGACGGTATATCACGCAGTACCTGAGCCCGCTAAGACAGACTTAAGACAGAAGGACATCGCATCATTTTAATGACCATTTTCCATGAGGTTAACCTCAACATGTTTTATTGCTGTAATGGTTTAGTGTGAGCACCTATAAAGTCAAATTTCTAACTGGTGTTAAAAAAACAGAAGAATTCCAGAGCCCCTTAGGAATGCACAGGCCATTTCGTGAGGCAGAGAGCCTGAAATTTTCTCTTTGAGATCCGTCAATCCCAACCACAGGAAGAGACATATGAGCCTCATGTCATCTCCCTGGCTTCTCACTGGAGTGTGTGACTGGTCAGAAACCTCGGCTCCTCTCTCTGAGCTACTCTGCTTCTTAGTTTTGTTCCAGTCGCTAATTTACTTGCACAGGGCTCGGTTCTCCCATCTTCCATGTGTTGATATCATTAAGACTTTATCTGGAATATTTACTTTGGCATTTTTAAGCAAAAATCCTTCATCTTATGACCCATCCCTGACTCATTCTTAAGTTTTCTCTTTGTTTATATGGATTTTTATTTTGTAAAAACAGTAACTAGTTGCAATTAATTAAGTTTTCCTCTGACTTGCTATTTTGATCTTTTCTTTTCCTTCTCTCTTAAATGTTTGGATCTTTATTTCAACTGACTGTGATTTGCTCTTAAAAAAACTAGTATAAAATTAAAAATGCAGAATATGTGAATTTCAATATTTCAAAGGTGAGTGTTAATAACCTTTAAATGATAACAGTTAAAGCTCTGGAAACATGCAACAGTGAGTTCTTAATTCAAAATTCTCCCCACATCCAGCAAATCATCCTCACATCTCCCCATTAAGTGACCCCCTGGCCTCCCCCCTCCCGTGATAAAGCAACAGCAACACAGCAAACAAGTGTTGTACACTCAAGTCACAGGTAACACTGGGAACGCAACAACAGAAGGTTGCACGCAACTTCGTGGAATGATACAAAGGGAGCTGGTTGACCTCAAAAGATCCTTGGATCCAGTGTCTGCTGACGTGACAACGCAAACCAAGCATCCAGTCTTCAACGTTAGCCCTGTCATCGTTTAGCTGAGGTTCACCTTGGCCAAGCTCAACGGGCAGTTGTCAGAAAAGCCTGAACAGACATGGCAGGAGCTGGGGGTACCATGGATTGCAGGTCAAGGGATGGGGGAGAGCTGAGGGTGGGAATGGGTGGGATGAAGCTGGGGTTATGGGGACATTTCAGGTGTTTGTACATTAAGCATGCAAATCATATGCAAACTCATTCTCTAATTGCTGAATTAACTCAAGCACTTTTATAATTAAATTTCAATGTGAGTTCCACATACACTTAAAGCAGAATGCTGATCCAAATATTTACATCATCCACAGAAGTCAGAGCAGCCATTTTGGGAATAACAGCACACAGCACCTCAGTCTGGAAATGACCTCGATCTCTTATATGGTAAGCATTTGAAGAACTTTGTGGTGCGTGCATGTCATCTGCTTAGGCAGCGCCATCATCTGCTCTCCTATGCCTCCACTTTGTCCAGAAATCCCAAACCACCTGCTCCGAATCTGGAGTGCTCTGACACGCTTCCCCAACGTGCAGTGGGGGAAGATAATTATAGGGAAGAGAAACAGGATCCTTATTTTATTTTCTTTGTGGCCCAGAAACCATGCTCCAGACCAAATATTTTAAAAATTCCCTACAGGGACTGAATCTGCCTTTCTGGAAATAGAAACTGAATTTTGTCATACTGAGTGCTATTTCCAGAAATTCATTTTCAAACAGAGAAAAAGTGTTCTTAAAATTGAATTTATAAGGAAATAATTTTCTTTTCTTCCTGGAAACTCATCAACTTTTTATTATTTTTTTAACCTTAGATACAAGAGTATTTAGAAGACTCTGTTTGTAGGTGCTGATTTTTCTCTTTGGAATTAATTCAATGGGAATGGGTGGACTCATCGTTACACTATTGTAAAGGGCAGATGTGGCTTGCCCTGGGGTGGGATTCAGCTGCATCTCCTTGAGGGACAGTAAGAACAAAAGAACTTAGACAGCAAGAGTGCCTTAGGTCTCTGTCCTCTTGAGGGCTGAATTACAGCAGGAATGAACTATGGGGGGAACAGGTAGGGTGGTGATAACATGGAGGAGCAGGAGAGAGAAAAAGCAAGGAAGGGGTTTGCCTCACATTGAAAATAATTTCAATTGTGAAGTCCAGTATTAGGTCCTATTAAACAGTAAATTCATATCCAGATATTATCTGTATTTCTTCAGATAAATTAAAAAAATTAATAATCTCCCAGTTAAAAATGCTTATTAAATATTAACTAAAAATCAAACAGACTTAAAAAGTCTTTTGTCTGAAATAACGGTTTATAATAAAGTCTTATCTTTAGTAAAACATGGGTTACTATGAGACAATAATGTTTAATTAGAATAACAAAATAAAATTGCAAAAGTCTGTCATATTGTAAACTATTAGTGACTGGCAGTACTCTTTAAAAGGCTTAAGTAATTGCAGAAGAGAAATTACAGTGATTCAAGGCACTGTTAATAAATATCTTCAGGATACTTCTTTATAGCTTAAAATACTTAAGAGAAAAACCTTTCCTTTAGGTTCATGTATTAAATGATCTTAATAGTTCAAGAATTTGGTCATGGCTTAAAACCTTGTTTACTAGGCATTTATGTATGTATTTGTTCCTTTAGGACATAATTAAACAGAAGAAAATGTACATTATTAGCTATCTGTTCAAACTCAAATAAAACTTAATCTTCTAATATGAAAGAAAAACATAATTTGAGATTAAAGTTTTAAACAGAGAACTGATTCTGCTTAATAGGTATTTACCAACTGCCAACTAGAAATTCATAGCCTGCTGTGTTTGAAAGATTATAATTGGGCCATACTCAATATAATTAAATTAAATGTCTCATACCACTAGCTGAAAAGTATAAGCCACTAACTGAATTTAGTTATAACGCAGAAAAAATGTGCAAAATTCCATGATAGATGTTCATTGGATGGTAGATTCCAAAATGCAGCTATTAATCTTTTCATTATTTCAAAAGGTGGTAAAACTGCATGGTTTTAGTTCATATGCACCAGATATCTAATTTGAAAACATCATATCGTATAACGCTCTATCCCCCAACATGGAAACTGAAGATATCACATATTCTATTGTATTCTGAGAATACAAAGGGGAAACACTATTTATATACTTACTTTCTTCTTAAGGAAAAGTTTTGTTAGGAAACTGAGGATATCACATATTCTATGTGTTCTGAGAAGACAAAGGGAAAACACTATTTATATTCTTACTTTCTTCTTACGGAAAAGTTTTGTTAGGATGTCAGTAAATAATTAAAAGCTATGACTAGGATCTAGCTCTCTAACATGAACAGGAAGGTATGGTATTTTCCAAGCCTTATCTTATTCTTTAAAAAAGTTTTTTAATGAGGACTTAATTGATTTTTTAAATAGAAGCTTTTAAATCTTTTCTATTAGGAACAACTCCCACCTACCTGCTTGTAAATTTAGATTGAATATTAACAAACATTGTTTTCTATTTCTTCAGATCACTTAATGAAAAACTAAAATGATTTTAAATGACAACTGTTATTTTTGGGTTTCACTTTCAATAATTCTAACAAATATTAGAGATGGGCTACCCAAACATACATAAGATATATGTGATTACATTTACTTTCCCTTATCTCAACAGCTTTGAAGAAGGCACATACTTATAAACATGTATACATATATTGGGATGTGAGGAAAGGCCTCCTACAAACAGTTCATACACATGAAAGCAAGATGCTGGTGTAGTTCTTCTAAAATATCTTCAAGAATAAAGAATGCAGTTGGTTATCCTAAATTTGTTTCTTTTGATAAAAGAGCGGAGATGGCCACTTCTGAACATGAAAAAGCACTGGTTAGCGAGCGTTTCTGTGTTCAGGAGGAACTGCTGGGTCACTGGAGCAGCAGTACCAGGCAATGTATAGACTGTGGTCCCCAAGAGCCAGAAGTCCCATGCACATAGGAGGGGTATGCCTGACATGGCACCCCAAAAGAGGCGCTCTGCATGCAGCCCCAAGAGCTCTGCAAAAGCTCTTTGGAGTGATTCTCAACCAACAGTCTCAACCTCTCAGACAGCAGGCTGCCCAATGAGAAAAATTTAAGAGTGTGAAAATAGGATTGTATTTTAAAATATGAAATAGATAAAAAACCCCAAACATGAAAATGTTTACTTTCCAAACAAAAATGAATTTTTAAATGTATGCAAAGGTGAAATGTGAATATCTGAATATTAAGCGGCTCAGAGTAAAATAGGTTGTGATTTTTGCACACATTCCAAAGATCAATTCAGTACTGTCAAATGAAAAAAAGAAAAAGGATTAGGCTGAGAACCACTTTGTAGCTGTAATGGTGCCTCTCTTGGCTATAGTCCTCTTGCATTTGCATAAAACTTATACAGAATATCATGCAAATCATACTCAAATATTTCTCACAAGTGAAGCACATGAACCTTTGAGAATTGTTAGGCACAAAGGACTGAATAGCCCATGGACAAGGGAAGTACAAAATGGGGAAGACTAACACTGATATATACATGGGTATATATATATCAATTTACCCTTTTCTTTTCTCCTGTGAAAGCAAGTGAACGTGGACACCCGGGATGAAAGCCAAACTCACACGGGACAGATTTTAACTGCAGACTTCCAAACCAAGTATGTTTCTCATTTCAGGACAATGTTTTGCACGTTAACTAGTCACGAGGCACAGTGAATGAAGTATAATAGACAATAATAAAAAAAAAAATCTCAGGAGTTGTTAGACATCACAAATTTTCTGCATTGCCAGGACATAGTCCCTACAGCTATTGACGACACTTTGCAACACACGACACAGCGCAAGTCCAGGAAGAGAAAATAACTGTTTGTAACCTTACATTATGAACCTGATGGATGGCTGAGAAAGGAAATCCAGCGTTCTGATTCGTCCATATCTCACAGACAGACGACTGCTGATATAAACAGAAAACTATCTCATCTTGTCAATATTTAAAACACGGCAGCTACCAAGGTAGCATCAAGGAAGGGAAGGAGGAAAATAATAAAGAGCAAAGAATCACATTTCTTAAAAAAAAAACAAACAACTCAAACACTCAAAAAATGCTTTAGGGTGCCTGAGGTTTAATCATTGACTTCCAAGTCATTCTTTTGATTAAAAACATTTTGGGTTGGCTGGGAGTAAAAAAAAGAACATTTATGCATTAGCTTTATGTCAAAGCAATTACCAATCCATTCACATCTTGAAAAAAGCAAACTGTTTTTCCACTTGCCAAAGAAAATGGAAATACTTTCCCCCTTCACGCCATTCATTTCATAGGATAAATATTTTCATGAAGTTCAAGAAAGATGGGGAAAAAGTCTTTAACACAGGCCAAACATTTTTATTTTCTTACGGGCAAATGACCAAGAGCAAACAATGCAATAAAATGACTTTCCTAGTTTAGTCATTGCTCAGCTTGATAAACCTAGAAGATATTTCCCCCTCCAGAGTTCTCAAGGGCAAAACTTGGTGACTAACAAGGGGAGAAGTGTTCGTTTGCTGCCCAGCAGTGGGAGCATGTGGTGGAGGGGGCGCCGTGGAGGTGGAATGGGGGGTGGGCTGGGGTCTGGCAGCTCAGTTCAGTCACTCACCAGAAACTCTGGGTAACAGCATTTGCTTTTTTATGAGCCTAATGAGTCAGCTCCATGTTCTGGACTCCCCACCACACCATTAACAATCCAATAACCAACAGTTATTAAAAGGCAATAATGTTTGCTTAGAAGCAAATGCCCAATGGACCAGCACCCTCCCAGGAATTACAGCAGAAACCACCAGATAAACCAACGAGGCTCCTGGCCTGACCTTTACAGAGTTCTTTTCCTGAATTCCGTCATCTAAAAGACGCTACGAAATTGAATCACAGAAAATGGCAGAACGCCTAAGCTTATTCAGCCAAGCACTGTGAACATCCCCAGAATTCACAAGCAGAGCGTACAAAGATCAGTGCAGAAAGGAGATAAGAATACAAGCACAGTATGGTTTAGAAACCCAGCAAGGAGCCCTATCACCGGCATGTGTGGAAGTGCGGAAACGAAATCTTTCCTCTGGCTAAATGTTTCTCCCACCTCCACCCTCCCAGAAACGCACACCATAAATTTAACATCTTTCTCTCCAGTTCCAAACACAGCTCCACACCCACCTACATCTTGCTCTCCATCCCTTCTGTCATCTGGATGGCTTGCTGGGGACAGACTGCCAGGTAACTGACATTCTGTTAAGAAAGTAAGACACCTGGGGTCTGACCAAAAGGCACTTCCAACCACCTCTCACTTAAAACCAGCTCTGCTCTTCTGTTTCTGCCCTAAACACCAGGCCATTTTCCCCACAGGGGGGCATCTACCCCTTCCTACTTTTCAAAAATTAAATCTCTAGCAAGTTAAGCATTGGGGTCATTAAAGCCCCAGCCTCGTCTCCAGTGGCTGTCATCTGACTTAAATACATTAACTCCGTGCTTCAGTGGGATTACCATCTTAACTGGCACCAGACATGCTTGGAGGACACCCTTCAAGCGCTGTCACCCACAGTTTTGAGCTAATTCTGTTACATACACTACATCTACAACTTCCGCAGAATTTTAGTGAGAGAAGTAACCCAGGCATCACCTGGCATCTGACAGATGAAGACAATGACATCCAGAGAGGTTCGGTAGCTTGCTGAGGTCACACAGGAAAGTGTTACATGTCAGCTGGCTAGGAAGGAGTGCCGGCCGGTAACGAGTTCGCCAGAAGGCGGAGAGGCTACTCAGTGATAGGGGTCTGTTCACTAATCCTGACAGAAATACATACAAATGGAGTCAGTTCCTGAAACAGTCTCAACCCCACACGGGGCTCAGACACTTAAGGTTCTATTTCCCAACCGTTACCCCCAGAGGGGCCACACTCCAACATCGAATACGAGTCAAACCTTGCCCTTCCTCACCACACACCGGACGGGGCAGTAGGGCCCACCCGGGAGCCCTCCCACCCCGGGCACTTAGCTGGGAAGGACAAATCCCCGGGAAGGGAGGGGAAGCCTCAGCTCCTTCCACCGTGGCTCAGACACTCCTCCGGCCCGCGCCCCCGCCCTCCCGGCGGCAGGCTTCAACCTCTGCGGACAGGCAGCTGACTGCGCAGGGCAGGACTCACCACCGGTCGGTCAACTCTGAGCAGGGAGTAGGCTCCATCGCCACAGCTCTCCCTTTAGAACGTGCAATACTTAGAGCCTACAGGAAAGCTCCCCCTTAGCATCCTGTTACATGAATATATCTCCCAACAGTCACAGAAGTTACCAGAGAGTTAAGGAGGGTGGAGAGGGTCTTGTGCCATAATTATTTAATTCTTAAAAAATCTGTGTAAGATTTTCTCAATGAATAAAACCCACCTCCAGTCATATACACTGAAGAAAGTTCCCATGTGGCATATATACCTTTTAAAGAAGTTACAGTAACTGTCTTTCATGTAAAACCTATGTTCAAACTTCAAGTAAATATGTTCTCATTTCTAATAATCTATGTGCCTCAATGTAAGTGGTAGAAAGTCAGATTTTAAAGACCGTTTAAAATAAAGGCAGCTAATAGTATGTTATGGAGGTTGTTTTTTAAAAAAGCTGATCCCTGTCAGATATCACACTAACTGATGATTGCTGTTGCTGTTTAGTCGCTAAGTTGTGTCCAACTCTTTGCAACCCTATGGATTGTAGCCCGCCAGCCTCCTCTGTCCATGGGGTTTCGCAGGCAAGAATACTGGAGTGGGTAGCCACTTCCTTCTCCAGGGGATCTTCCCGACTCAGGGATCAAACCCACGTCTCCTGCACGGGCAGGATTCTTTACCACTGAGCCACCAGGGAAGCCAATTTTGATGGCAGTAAAGACCTGATCAGGCTCCTAGACTAGTAACTTAAGATGGACCAGCTATAACTGGTGTCTTCATAACATGAGATGGCTCTTCTTGTAGACATGTGGTTATCAGACTGAGTGTTGGAATGAATTTTTTAAATGCAAAAGAGCTTCCCCTGCAGAATTTCATTATTATTTGTTGTTCAGTCGCCCGGTCGTGTCCCACTCTGCAACCCCATGGACTGCAGCATGCCAGGCCTCTCTGTCCCTCACCATCTCCCGAAGTTTGCCCAAGTTCATATCCATTGTATTGGTGATGCCATCCAGCCATCTCATCCTCTGACCCTCTCTTCTCCTGCATTGTATTTATGAAGATGACATTTCAGAGTACAACATGTAATGAAGTACTGAGTGTTCAAAACTTTTGAGAAAGAAAATATTAGTGATAAAATTTCAGCTGGGGCCCAAATTCCTAGAACAGAAGTGAGTTAAATCTAAGTTTTAATTAAACATTAGCGTATCCTCATCTGAAGAGAAGATTAATAATAGCACTTGGCCTACTTATTTCACCAGGTTGTGTAGCTCATGAGAAGCTTCACGCAAAAGGGAACTTTTTCACAGCTAGGTTTCTGGGACCTGAAATACAGAAGCTGTCAAACATATTGACTGAGTGAATGGAATCACAGAATGTGTTCAGTATTTCTTGGCAAATGATCAAGCACCATGGAAACATTAATTACTCTCGTCGTTATAATTTTTAGTCGATCTACTTTGTTGCTGCCACTTGGGCCCTCAGTAAACTACATCACTGCTAACACACTTCTGGCAAAATGCATCAGAGATTAACCTTGCAGACTTCTTGTTAGAGATGGTCTCATTTTTTCCTGATAAAGGCTGGAAAAGAGCTGCTGACTTTGTTGAAAAGAGAGGAACATCTGTAATTAGCAGACCTATCTGCTACGGGGCTGCTTGTAGGAGCCTGGAAACAGTTCTGTAAAAGGATGGTAAACAGCCTTTGCAGTTTCACATGCTTATTAATTTTCTCTCAGTTCCTTTTTCCTACATCGCAAAGGCTAATTTAGTTGATCTGAATTTGAATTACCATGAAATCCAAATAAATGGGGGTCAATTGAAGGGATAGAAATCTTAGAACTGAGATATCAATAATTTAATATTTATTTCTTTGGTGATGAAGTCGGCACACTTTTGGAGGTGCATAATTTTATCTCAAGTTCAGACCTCTCTCCTGACTCTGGAAACGTTTTCTCAAATACAACACACATCCTGTTCTTGTTACTGTCACACACCTCAGGTTACCACGAGTACAGTCCAGAAAATACAACGCATTTGCATTCAAATCTAATAACAAACTAAAAGAATATCATCTATCTCCAAAGTCTTTCTCCTAAAGGTCGACTTCTTTTCTGCTCAATTGGTAGTAACCTGGTAATTTACAGTAAGTCTCTCTCCTTGACTGTCTGTTTTTTGAACATTCGTGGTAACTACTGAAACATCTCCCACTAAAAGCAAATAAGCCCCTTCCCTTGACCCAGTATTTTACCTGAGCTCCTGCTCAATTTCTGTTGAGAAGCAAAGGCCCCGAGAGCGATCTATATGGTCTCTGCTTCCCCTTTCCTCTCCTCCCGTGAGCCCACTCTACCGAAACCACTGTTCATTTTGTCAAATCCAACGGTTCATTTTCCTTGCCCATCTGACACTCGATCACTCCTCCCATTTCCTAACTCCTCTGCTGGTTACGGAGAAGGAAATGGCAACCCACTCCAGTCTTCTTGCCTGGAGAATCCCAGGGACAGTGGAGCCTGGTGGTCTGCCGTCTATGGGGTCGCACAGAGTCGGACACGACTGAAGCGACTTAGCAGCAGCAGCAGCAGCTGCTGGTTACTGTGATCTGATCGTCCTCTGACCCCTGGAGTGTAAGTCCTTAATGCTTTACTTCTGGCTTTACCACGTGGTCTCATCCTATCCTGATGCCCAAATTTATGTCTCCAGCCCAGACCTCTCCTCTGAACCCCAGATGCAGACACACAGCCTTCTTAACACCTCCTTAATCTTGATGATTAATAAGCATCCTAACC